CCTCTCTCCAGACCACAGACGCCCAGGCCTATGCCCCTCCTCTGCTAGAGGACCCGGACAGAGTAAACGCTCAGACATTAAATGAGCATTACATTGTGATCCAGGCGTGTTTCTGGTAAAGCAGTGAGCCGCTCAGTATGGATGGTGGTTACACAACAAAGGGATATTATGTGTAATATCAACTTGTTGTCTGGTTTGGTCTTTTCTTTTTCTGCTCTATGATTTGAAAACCGATTCAAAAGCCCTGTGTAGCACCTAAGTGACCACACTAAATAGACAAACTAACTTTACTTCCTAAAACTTTGTCCTTCCAAAAATAATCAAAGATTTGATGCAGACACTTTCATGCTATGGAATGAGGGTGCTAACCTCCACACCCATATGCAGCCCAAACACACACAGCATCAGTAAAAAACTGCTGCAGAGAGCAAACAAATTATCATTCCTTCACGGTCACCCATCTGACCTCAGTGCATGTTAAAGCTGGAGTTATATAAAGCCAGCTCCCACACTGACATTGTAACATACATCAGGGATTCCTAATGAGTGCACAGCGATGGCCCACTGTTCTTCTTATTAAAGGAAACCTGACTACTGGTAACTCAGTTGCAGTTCCCCTCAGATGGGATGGTTGCTGTCATGGATGGATCCTTCCAACAGTGCTTCAGCCCTCAGAGGTTTGAGGGGATTCCTTTGAACACAACTCATTAACATTAAAAAAGGAGTTGTGGATGTGTTCTCGCTGTGGGAAGATCATCTTTAGATGACTCACTCCAACCTGAGAGACATACTGGTGGGGTCACTTCCTGCTGTCATGAATTATACAAGGAATCAGAGTTCTGAACAAATTCTACTGAATATTTCTAAATCCCAAAACAAGGGTTAATGGTTAATGGTGGCCCCCGCAGCCAGACTCACTTCCTCTGGATCAGCAGGGCGATCTCTGTCTGCACTTTCAGGTACTCTTGGGCCATCTTGCAGTGCTGCTCAAACACAGCCATGGATTCTTTGGAATTGGGACAGGGAGCCAGAGGCTGAAAAGAAACAAAGAGTTCAAGCTTTAACGTATATTACCTGTGTGTTAAATCCATGTCACAGTGCAGGTGGACTATTTTAACTTCACACATGCAATCAGCATTAATGCAAAAATGGAAAAAGAGCTCATCAGTGGCAGAAATACACCTGATGCAGAAGAGTGCTGTGGGATTGGATGGTTTACCTGCAGCTGGTGATCCAAAGTGAGATAAGCCATGGGAATGGAGTTGTCTGAGCCATTAGTGTCTAAGAGGAGAGAAAGAGAGAAGCTGGCTGTGACTGCTGATGACAGCCCTTAGTCACAGCCACACTCCCTGACCAGCATCTTTGGACATGGTCGCTGGCATGATTCCTGGCTGATCTGATGCTGAGTGACCAAACAATATCATTTAAACATGAACGTGTTTCAGAGTGCCATTCATACTGGAAGGATTTCCCACCAGTTAAAAAGAGAAGGCACAATAACTGGTCTTCTGCCACTTTAAGACTGAAGCTGGTCTGTGACTGAACCTGTGGAAAGGCAAAGGAAAGGGGGCCCACGTACCTGTGGGGTCATCGGGGGAGAAGTATCCTCTGCTGCTGCTCTTGTCAGGTTGTATCGTCCTCACACTGGGACTGGAGGACCGGCTGCTGTTCCGGCTTTCCTGCAGCAGGATAAAAACAAAAACAATCACAGAAGCCACAGCTTCTACATTTGTGAGTGTGAAGACACGTTTACCACTGGGTCCTGGTTACTACTACTGCATCCTATAGTTGTAGCTATCAAACCAAGTCCCTTACATCCATCCCATACGCACCAGACAGTGGCTGTTATAAAGCATGGTTACAGAGCCCCAATTAAAGGGGCTTTTCCAAAAACTTTGCAGTAATTAAAATCAAAGACTTTAAATTACCTCTCAGTCATTGGACTAACTTATAAAAGAGTGCGACCTGTTTTGTTATACAAGGATAAATTAGGGAGAGAAAATGTCTGAAGCTGCATTTGCTGCTGGAAGCTGGATGTCAGTAGAAGTAGGTCACCAGTGTTTTTTGATGATGGAACTGTTTAACTGGCAGAAATAGCAGGGTGAGTTCTGGAGTGTGTAGAGCTGGGCTCCATTGCTCTAAAAATACAGAAAAAACTCAAGGCAGTAATATGATGCTCACTCATCTGACCTCAATCCTAATGATTTACTGAGGACTGAAATGAGAATTAAAAGAGCCACAAACAAGCAACAGCAGCAATTTAGCATTCTTACAAAATAAATCTCAGCTTTTGAAAATATAATGTTTGATATTATTTCTGCATTTGAATCAAGAAAAATGTACCTCCACTAAAAACAAGTGTAGTGAGCGGGTAGCAACAAAAAAAGTACAATGAATACAGAGATAATGTGCAACATGTTAATGGCAGCTTTGGTAAGGAGCATTCATTGCTTTCTTTAGTGAAAAAGAGCAGCACCCTCTGCACTGTAAATGTCTGACTTATGGGTAATGTCTTCCTACAACAGCTCTGGCAGCCAAACGCAGGGTTGGTTTGGAACTACGACCGGGAGTCTCATGTTTTGGTCTAATATTAAAAAAACTAATGCACGTTTTTAGGTTTCATGTATTCAGGTATTGTGGGTGTTACATCACAACACATCTCAAGCTAGGTTTGAATTTAAATCGAAGGAACAGAATGCCAAGACAGAGAAATATTACAGAGACATATTACCAACTTAATTCTCCTCATTTTCCATAAGCAGAGACACTTTTTCGTGTAAAACTGTATTTACAAGCTGAAAATTACCAGTGCAACTGAGAAGCTACAGAACTTCCTACACGAGGCCCTCTCACCGTTAGTTTTAAACTACCAATGAACTATTAATACTGTAATAAACTAGTAAACGAGCTGCTCAGAATGGTTGTTTTTCTAGTCTAGCTGGTCGCACAGAGCAGAAGCCACATTCACATACAGTGTTACAGGGGTCTTTAGTCAACAGTGCTACAGGCTGCACAGGTCTTTTCTTCGACTGAGTCTTACCTGGCTGGACTCTGTCCCGATGCCTGACAGATCCTGTACAGACCGACGCCTCTGGGCCTCGCACGTGGCTGTGAACACAGCAAAAAGACAGTAAAGATAGAAGGAGGAGACACACGGGGGCTCTGGTAGACAGAAAGTGAGCCTTGGTTCAAACCGCTCATGTGGCTTACAGGATCTTAGACATTGTTGTTTTCTTTGCCCTTTTCATGCATCTTCAGTTCAGTTTATCACCCTGATAACATCTGAGGCCCTCCTACCAAAGTATTTGTTCTTAAAAGACAACATGCCTGCTGGATTAGCTTGAAATAGACTCAGGTATTTACAGTTATGTCCACTTGCAAGGCAAATTACCCTTTCAGGGCTTACTCCACTCTGGTGAGGTACAGATAACAAAGAAAATAATAATAATGTCGTGGGACGTATACCACTTTATACATCATGTCCACTACAGGAATTTAATAAAGTTAAATCAGGATGAACCAACAGGTTTCAGGCTTTCAGAAATTATTTCTAACACCTGTGCATTTTAACACCCCAAGTCATCACTCGATTAGGGAGAATTCATAAAAACAACAGTGTTGATTAGTCCCACTGCTGGATGCAGAGTAGCACAAAACAGTGACAGCACACAGCATATCATTACTCATGTCTGAAAGCTAGTTAAACGTCACTCGCTGTTTAATCATCTTCAGTCAGAAGTGGAATTACTAGTTTACCTGAAACCTGCTCCAGAATAAAAACCAGTACTGGCACGTCTCAGGTGAGAGCTGTGTTGTGGATGCAAAGGTTTTTTTTCCAAAGGGTTGTGTCTATTTCCAAGATTGTATTTGCAGTTGTTGAGGCAGATGGTTTCAGACAACACGGTTCTAAACTACCATAAAGGAATGGGTTAATCTCAGCCAGGCTGACCATAAGCACTGCCTAAGGCACAATGAACCCACAAAACAGGAGGACACACATAAGCAAACAAGCACCCAGCACAATGCAAAGCACCCGGGACTTTCACTTTCACAGACGGGATCATTGCTGTCATGAAACCAACCTGACCTAGCATGGTGAAACCCTGAGTCTTGATTCCCTGAATTTGAAAAGAAGTCAGGCTTCTCTGCAACTCATGGAAAAAATATGGATGCCAAAAATTTTTAGCCCCAGCATTTGAGCTGTTACTAACATTTTAATGATAGACTGAGAACTGTACAGTGCTGAAATGGAGTTCAGCTACCCAACACATCTTCACTTAAGATGAGGATGAAAGCGGGACAGGACAGGCGTGGTCTGGATGCCAGTGCCTCTTGTTTGATGGTTATATGGGCAGATGTGACAGTAGAGCAAAAGATGTTGCAGTGCTTGTTAACATGAAACGGTGAACTATTTCAGTATGTAGTCCTGACACCGACTGTTGCTGTCATTATCTATATGAACATGCTGCAGAGTCCTGTGTGCATCTCCTGTGAACACTGCATGCAACATCTTTAATGGCTATTTCTAATGATTTGAAGTATTTATTCTTTTCACTGACACCTCCAACTTTGCCACTTTTTGCCAATGACACAGAAAATAAAATGTTTCATTAGAAGGTTAATAAATATTTTTTCTATTCAAATTTAAATGTAATAGAAACTCCTCTGGGCAGAAGGAAAGGTAGACTATGAT